CCCAGCATTTCTGTCTTCTCCACTTCCCTCTCCCGCTAACATATATATATATTTATTTATTTATTTATTTATTTATTCAGTACATACTATACATTAAGTTTTGCATGATGCAGAAGAGGAGATGGCACGACTGCTTCAGTTTGCCACTGGTTGCTCCCGACTTCCCCCTGGTGGTTTTGCTCAGCTGTCTCCACATTTCCAAATCTCTGCAGCCCATACTTTTGGTGTCTTGCCAACAGCTCACACATGGTAAGTAATATCAGTCATTTTTAAGGAATAATTAGCACACGTCCCTATACACTAGTACTGTACATCAATACAACAAAAGGCTTGTAGTTATGTAAAAAAATATACTGTAGTTTTGTCATGTTCATGTTCAAGTAATATTAAATTTATTAGTGACTTATGACCAACTGTGAACTTAACACACAGGTAGTTAGAGAAAACTAGTTAATAACTTTAAAAGTAATGAAGACCAATAATTGGTTCAGCAGCATAAGCTGGTCAAAAAAGTACCTTCAGTTTCTGTAATCAGGACTGGTGTTCAGGGAGGTGACTGATGGAGCTAAAATGGATTTTGGATGTACTCAAGTTGTCCGAGTAGTATTTTTGTTGAATTATTGATTATAGTGTGAAACCTTAATAGCAATGGTATAATTCTTTCTACAGCTTCAACCAGCTTTGTCTACCAGACTATGACAGCTATGAGCAGTTTGAGAAGGCAATACTTTTAGCCATCAAAGAAGGCTCTGAAGGCTTTGGAATGGTATAAGTTCTATCCAGGAAAATTGGAATACCCTGTATTGGTTTTATTTGTAAACACTAATGTTGATCAGCTCTTTTTGAGTAAGGGGCTTGAGAAGTGCTGAGTATTATACAGGTAATGAAGTCTATTTTTATTTTTTTTGGAACTATATTATATATATACACAATATTTTATCAAACTAAAATTCAAGGGACGTTTCTCTGAAGAGATAAGGAATACATTGTACTAAGACAATAAGTTATATTTATATACTTTTGAAATGGCAAGAGATTTGAGGTATAACAGATTCTCGGTTAAAAAGAAAATTTTAAGGACCATTTGAAACATACTGTACTGAGTTGCAGTAAGTAAATACACGGAAGGCTTGGTAGATTAGAGTGCTAGACTTAACTGTAAGAGAGGAACACACAGCTAAATAGGTATGTGTATTTATTTTGAACTATTTTATGAGTGATGTGAACAAAGTGATAATTTGCTTGCAAGGAAGATGCAGTACTAAAGATAGGAGATAAATTTGGCTAAGTGAACAGGTGTTCACCACCTGGCAGATTGTTATGTTAACTTCCAAAGTATGACTTGATGATCCTAGATCATGGCCTATAGCACTGTCTAGCTAGCTAAAACAAATACTGTATTAAATTTTTGTATGGTGAGACACACCTATTATGAGGTACAGCACCAGCACATCATAATGCACCAGCAAGTTTCTTTAGAGAAGGAGTCATAAAAGAAAAGTATCAAATGATATTTGTTTTACAGTTTGGAGAAGTCCATCCATAAACTCACTGCACTTTTATTGTCTCACCTAACCGTTTATTGTCATACATCTGCAGTTTCCCCATCCCCTTGTATTTAATTATCAAGTGAGCTATATGACTTAAGTATTAAATAATTATTGAAAATTAAAGATTGTAGAAATAGCTTAACATATAGTTAATAGTTCATCCAAATCATAATGAGTTTGACAATATACTGTACACTGCTGGTAATGCACATACAGTACAGTACACATTCCACACCTTGGGAAGGTTTTTTGGGGAATAAATAGCTGTCAATACACCCAATGTTTATCATGTGACTCATCTCATGATAGATACTAAATGCTTATTAAGAATACTAATAGTGGAGCACTGTATGAGACTACGTTTGTTGAGCACATCATAAAAAATTCCCCAAATTAGTTTTCTTAGTGATACTATTTTTTAACATAACTAGTACTGTACTGTAGTCACATGTAATACAGGTTTGGGTATCCCTTATCCAAAATGCTTGGGGCCAAAAGGGTCTTGGATTTGGGATATTTCAGAATTTGGAATATTCGCGGGGGTTAGGTTTCAAGGAATGGCGTGAATAGGCAAAACTGTGAATAGCAACTTATACTACCTTAGTGCACTACTGTATACTTATGCCAAACAACCAAACAGCCACGACAACACTCTTCCCCTCCTTTAACTTGTCTCATAATTAAATTTTTTTTGTCAGGGTCATCACTGACTTCTGCCTTTTACCTCACAAGTATCACTAGCACTGACACTAGGCAGTCTTTTAGGGGCCATTTTCACACAGAAACACTTAAGTTTTGAGAGTACAACACAAGATGCTGCAGGAAAAGGTTCACAAGCTAGCCACCATAGCCACCATTTGCTTACCTCGAATCATCGAAATTGCGAATCGCAAACCCACGAATGGCAAGGGCCTACTGTACCTATAATTTGTATGCCTGTATAATGTGGCAGCTCACCCAGCGGGGATGGGGCCCAAGTATATACACGAAATTCATTTACATTTCATTTATAGCATTTGAGTGCAGGTAGTTTATGAATTTTTTTTTTTTATTATTTTGTGTATGAAATACATGATCAGATGTATCCACTGAAGAATGAGATAGGTAAGTAATCACTTCTGTCCGTTTGGCATCGCCATGATAACCGACTCTGAGGTGCTAAGCAGTCTGTGTCTTACCTTTATTCATTACACATACCTGTACATACTTATTGTAAATTTATTTTTGGAATGCCCTGAAAATTATGAAGTTACCCTAAAATATTATTTATTATCGTAAATGATGAAAATGTTGTCACTGTTCTTTGCAGTGTTTGCCAATAATCAATTAATAATTTTATATAAGGCCTCCCTCAACAATACCTCGGGAAATGCCAGATATTTCCACAATCTCTAAATCAACAGAAAAATGTAATGACAACTCAAATACTTTCTCACTGATTCTTGAGGATAATGACATTATTGATATTTTTGTATTACTATTTTGATGTTTTACATATGCAAATAATTAATACTAATTGCCTAAATAGGTGAAAAAATATGCCAATCAGAATATAATGGAATATTGCTGTTAAAAAAAGGATAGTGAAACAAGAACATAATGTGAATATATAATAAAACATTTAAAATATAATACTGTACTTTAAAAGTATCATAAATACCCATTCTAAGGATATTTCCTAAGAATGGAAAGCACAGCATAGTAACATGATAAAAGAAATGTATACTTTTTCCTATTAATGTGAGGTTGTGTAGAGGTGGAATTGTATGAAGTTAAGGAATGGCCAGTCAGTCCAACATCAAATTACTTCAGCATTTATTAACTTACTACTTCAAAGTAATTACCTTAAAATATCAGTAAAATACCACAAGAAATCCTTGATTAACCTTGATTTTGCAAAAGTTTTGCATACCCTAAATTTCACCCTAAAGAAGGCCTGATTACCATACATGGGGGCATACTGTATATCGCTTGAAATTTTTTTATTTATTTCAGATCATTTCAGATTTGGGAATTTTGGATAAGGGATACCCAACCTGTTACCATTTGTCATGAGTTACAAATAGGAAAATGAAAAAAAAAATCACGAATCCTAATTAATCAAATTTAGTCCACTCCTTTCTAAGTGTACAGATACATACAGAAAAAAGTATTGGATAGGTGGGAGAAAGTGTAGGCGTATACTGGGTAAACATCAAATGTAAGGTGAACAAATTGATTTTAAGAAGGTCTAAACACTGTATGTTAATGGTCTGTTTAGGTGTTTGGAGAATTTTTATAATGAAAATACTACAGCAAAACATTTAATAACTTTACTTAACAACAGTTTCAACACAAACCCTCATAGAGTTTAGTCATATGTGGCCTCACTTCTTCACTCCTGTTATGTGTGGTGTGAGAAACTATGTTGTGTGTTATGTTTATCATAATTTTATTTGCTAAATCTAAGTACGCCTGTAAGGAAACTTTTCTGGACTTGATATTTTAAACAGCTACTGTACCAACAAATAGATGTTATAAAATATTTGAATATCTAGCCAGTTTTATACAGTGGTCCCTCCATTAACGAGCACAATTGGTATATTGGGTAATTGGTTCCAACTCACAGATTTCCCTTTAAATTAATTAAAAAGTACATACAAAGTACTGTATACCAGTAATAGAATTAACAATATGTATGGTATGTTCATGTAAACAAGTACAAATAAATGAAGAAAGTTATGTATATCTACCCAAAAATATGAGTTGATAAATTTGCACTTACCGTATATCACGGCCTATAAGACGAAATTTGAACATTAAAAAAATCTGCCCAAAGTTAGGGGGTCGTCTAAACCACCAAGTTTAAAATTCTTACCTCTTAAATATTGTGGTTTAGTGTGTCAAGAGTGGTGATGAAAACATCGTAAGCCACTCACAAGGTCTTACCACTAATTATTTTATACTGAAACTTACGTTTGGCAAGCTGGATTCAAATTAAGATTACCGGTATATTAAAATAATAAAAATGTATTATAAACCTGTCTAACATACCGTAAAAGAGATTTATACCCCTATAATAAACACAGCTATCATCACACACCCCTCCCCACGCCCCCCCCCCCATTTGCCAGTGAGGAGCCGTGGAGGTGGTCAGTAATGCATACCGGTATCGGTATATTTACTCATAATAATATTTATCTCCTATAAATAATTGATTTAAATTTTATTTTTTTCCAAAGAATATTCAGTAAATGAGTGCATTAATTCTTGAAACTATCGACGGTTAATTACAGACGCTCAAGTGACGTCACTAGTGTTTACACTACACCAGCTGGTAATATTTGATGCCATTACTTGAAGTGAATTGGCCTTATTTTAAGTAACTAACTATAAATAAATACAAAAATTAAAAAAAAAGATCAAAACTGAGAAATAATATACTGTATGTATGTTGTGTTGTCAAAGTAAGAGGAACAATTGTGTAAGTACGTAATATTTTTTCACTCAAATCCTAATGAAACACTACTGGAGAACATTCCTTTGTCGCAAAACAGTTTATAAATTAAAGAAAATAATTACAGTGTGTTTAATATATTACAGTATATTATAAATAAATAAATAAAACAAATAATTCGGTAAATCTATTTAAAGTAAATGGAAAATAAGCAAACATGTTATTTACCAAGACCCTTCCGTCTGGCTCAGGGTGAGATGGAGGGGAGATAACAAGCTATTTATAGCCCATCAGAAGTGACCAGTACCCTAATGCACCATAAATAATTCATTGAACATTCATTTTTTGTACATAGTATATTCAGTATATATATATATATATATATATATATATATATATATATATATATATATATATATATATATATATATATATATATATATATATATATATATATTTGTGTAATAAATGTATGTAGTAAGTACATACTGGTAACCTTTTTCACTCAAATCCTAATGAAACACCACAATTAGAATACGGTGGTTGCTGTTGAACCACATGTTGTATAAATAGTCACACCACCGAGACGAGGGAACACTCCCACCACGCTTCAGTGACGTCACTAGTGTTTACACTACACCAGCGGGTATAATTTGATGACATTACTTGAAGTGAATTGGCCTTATTTTAAAAAATCAAGGATGGTTGGTAAAGGACTACTGAGTCAGTGGGTAAGTGTCACATTTGGGGTACTGGTCTTATACAGCAAATAGAGCTCAAAAGCTACTTTTTAAATGGAAATTTGGGGGGGGCGTCTTATGCACCCCGCCGCCTTATAGGCCGTGATATACGGTACTGTAAATGTACTGCACTTTAGAAATAAAATTTTTATCTCTTGCAAAATATATGATGTCTATATTAAAATTATTCACTGTCTTCCAAGGATTCCAGCAATGTAAGTTATATTCTGCTAATTTTAGTCTGACATTTTATAAGATAAAAACTTTCATCTTAAAACTACCTTCACCCTGTTTTGGGAATGCTTTTTAGGAAGGCTTCTTAGCCCAGAACCCCCAGATTTTTTGTCTGAATCCTCCAAAATCCGGGTCCAGTTTTTTTTTATATAGACCAACATTGCACTGTATATTATTAATATGTTAACCGAATTTCAAAATGACCAATAATTTTAAATGTAAAAATGCAAAAATATTCAAGAGCACAACTTTCTTGATGTTTACTCCACTGGAAACAAAGGTAAACAGAGAACCGATTATTGGCGGACGAGTCGATTAGCTGATGCGGCCACCAAAACGTGTTTCTCGTTAGGCTGTTGTTAATAGAATTTGTACTCTTTAATAGAACTGAAGGTCCTTACGGGAGCTAGCTCGTCAAATGAAATCTCATAAATTGAACCGCTAGTTAATGGAAGGACCACTGTAATGGATATCTTTTCCATATCAAACGAAGGATCTTTTACAACTTATCTTAAATTTTTTGGTTATTATTTGTATGTATTTATTGAATCCAAACTGGCATCCCATCACCACTATACATTACTTGTCCTGCCATGTAATGTATGACTTTTGCTGTGCACTCCAACCACTTGTGTCAATATCATGTGTGCTTTTATTCATTGAAGGCTCATCTTCTTGTCACTAGTGTTTGAAAATGTAACCCTAGTTGTAAAATCTCTTCATGCAGTGAATACTCTAGGTACCCATTTATGAATTAATACTGTACGTATAAACAAACTCCGATAAAGAATGGTTGGTATAGATAAATATACAAGATGATCTGTGTGATTTCAGATGAAAGGAGAGAGTACAATATTCCCTTAAAATTTGTGGGGGTTAGGTAAAATGGACCCCGCTAGAAAGCAAAATCCTCAAGTTTTTCATGCTATTTCCTGGAGTTTGTAAAATACAGTATGTACATATAAATACCTAGATGCACATGTATAACAGCATTATGCACACATATCCCTTAAAATACTAGGGTTTAAAAACGTGGCCCTCGCCCCTTTGCGGATTGCACCACAGGTTGCATGGGGAGCAAGGGAGGTTTTGTACTGAATCTGACAATTTCCACTACTAGCTGCGAGGGGTCTCGATTGTCTTTACCAATCCCCGCCCCACCTTAAGGAGTGAGGGAGGGAGAGGGTAATGCATGGTGTCATTGTTACATAAAATGAAACTAAAAGTTGTGGAAAACTCATATCAATACTCTGTGACTTAGAAATAAAGAAAATATAATATAAAACTACTGTATAAAATATAAAATTTGAAGAGCATGGTGTGTATTCTGTGTGAGAGGTGATTGTCATTGTGGAAGCATTGAGAAGTTTGTCAATAGCGCATCTGGCGATGGCTGGTTAGGCCTACTTCAGTTTAAATGCTACCACACAGCCACCTCTGCTGTACAATTATCTGAACACTCACCATTCATCCTGGATCTTCTGACTATGATGCCGATGATTAGTACAGGTCCCATATAATGAATGATGAGATGATGATGGGCATAAGAAAATATAATAAACATGAAATAACATTATATAAACATAAACATGAAATAAAAAATACTCTGTACTGTACTATGGTATTGACTCCTCTTGATCCCTGGCAACTCTCTCCCTACCTCTTGACCCCCTGCCAACTCTCTCCTTGCTGTAGGTAAGGTGAATGATGTTTATGATGATGCTGATGATTGAAGTTGATGATGGTTGTGATGATGTTCACTGTCCCCTCACCCTCAACTGCCTCAATAGAGGAGGCAGGGGAGAGTGGTGGGGAGGAGAAAACTTGGGGGTTGCCCTTATCTTCAGAGCACAAGTTGAAGAGTGGAGGGCATTGGCATGATACAATAACAGTGGCAGGAGTAACTGGAGTGGCAGGGGTAGCTGGAGTAACAGAAGATGCAGGGGTAGCTGGAGTGGCAGAAGATTGAGTTGAAGCTGGTGTTTTGGGAACTCTGGAGAAGAATGGCGTGATGAGGAGCTGAGATCTCTGGTGCTTTAGATCTTTGTAGATTTTGTTGAGTGGTGCTAGTACTTGGTCCACACCCCTGTTTATCTTCAGTTCTTGGTCTAGAGATGAGTCTAATTCCAGAAGTGCTACTTTTCTTTATTTGAAGAAGGTAAAACAACACAAAAAACTAATGTCCAGATGTTTTTCTCTAAATCAACTGGACCAAGATCTCATTCCCAATCATCTTGCTCATCTTCGTTTAATAAAGAAGATAGTTCTTCATTCGTTAACTCTTGTCAAGTGTTTCCAAGCAGCTCTTCTCTGATTTCTTCTGGTTGCATGTCACCAAATCCCTCCCCACTTGCACCATGTGTGTGATATGAGACTCCACTGAAGGGAAGCCAGTGAAATCATTCACATGCTTCAGACCTTAGGGCCTTCCAACAGGAGTTCACACACTTTCTAGGGATTTTATTTTGGCTCTGTTAAACATTTGCTATGCAGTCAGCAATGGTGTAATTTTTCCATATCTCTTTCATCCCCACCTGGCTATCTTCTTCCAATGCCTCATGGATCTTGGAAAACCTGTGACTGAAAACAGCAATCATTCCTTGGTCTGGAGGCTGATTAATTTTATCTTTAATCCTAGGTAGTGAATTAGTACTAGTGTAGGTTGGGTCGCCCATTGACAGTCTTCGAAAGAGTTTCCCACCATCAGCCAATCGTCTAGATAAGCAAAAGTTTTTATGCCCCCCTTCGCAAGGATATCTCTGGGGATGTTCGCCAGTTTTGTAAACACTTTTGGCGCAATTATTAGGCGAAATGGCATCACTGTTAATTGATAACTTACATCCCCCACTGCGAACACTAGAAACTTTCTGTACCTGGGAGCAACAGGCACATGATAATAGGCATCTTCGAGATCCACTTTTGAGATCCAAGCATTGGGCCGAAGTAGATGCCTCAGATGATCATAAGTGAGCATCTTGAAACTTTTTTTTTGTGCAATGAACTTGTTCAGGATGGAAAGATCTAAAATCCACCTCAATTTGTCGCTGCCTTTCTTGGGGACTGGGAACAGGCGAGACATGAAGCACTTCTCTTACTGCAACAGTTCTATTACACCTCTGTTTACAGTTGAATTACAAATTCTGTGAGTAAGGGGGCTGGTTTCTGACCCCTTTTTTTGGAACACTGGCAGAGGGCGCCTAAACCAAGTTCATGTGAGGCCCCCCTTTGATTGTCTTGTAAGCCCATATGGGAGAAGTCCACCTGTTTTTCCAACCCCTTAGATGACCCAGCTGTCTGGTTTCATTGGAAGGGAGTGGTCGCTGATGTGGTGGAATAAGGTCTCCTTCCACTTCTGAACAAACGGCCACCCCTACTACATCTTGGATTGTTTCCTCAGAGGGTGTTTTGAGAATTGCAATTAAGTGCCAGGTATGCGAAATGTCCTCCTAATATTACGTATTTAAGTAATTATTAGATGTTTTAATTGCCTGTACGCTGGCCTGGCGAGTTAATGCAAGGCATTTACATACCAAGGTGTAGAGCTAGACGTTGCATTCTGGACTATATCACAAAAACTGGTTTTTAGAAAAAACGTTTTTTTATTTTATCCATGAGTTTCCAAGGGACACAAGCTTTAAAACCATGAGCTTTAAAGGAATACTGTATATGAAAGGGCTAAGTTTGAGTATCATTAAGGTCAGCGAAAGTAACAGCTCCTGCAGGGTAATGAAAACCCCGCGAAATCCCCAAACCACGAAGTTTACCTATTGGAAGCCAAAATTGCCAAAAAACAAAGAAAAACCCACTCCAGGTGTTCGAAATACAGGTTGTACCTCACTAATTCGGGAAGTTGGGGACCAGAGCCGGTTCCGGATTAGCGAAAATTACGAACAATTGAAGCCAAGGTTAAAAAAGGCAAAATAATGCATAAAATGTACTACTATTGGCACCAATACAACTTACATCAGCATAAATCTAGCCCAGGCTTACTGGACCTTTTTATGACAAAGTGTCAGTGCTATGGCACAAGTTTACTGTACACTGGACCCTCACATATACGTACTGTATGTACAGAACTAAGCAAAGCATTTACTTGAAATACTCTGTAACATTTATTGCCATAATATCCTTACCACTGGGGTAAGTTATACAGACTTTTCCCTGTGAAAAAGTCATAAATAGATGATTCTACTTAAATTAATTGCCCTCTTGCAAGGATTCCAGTAATGCAAGTTATGGGGTATGCTATAACGAATCTAATTGGTTCTAGAACCTTGTTCGTTATAGCATTCGTTCGTTATAGGATTAATCCGTTCCAGGCCCCCAAATACAACCACTTAACACTGAAAAATATAATATAAAATTGTAAAAATTGTAAAAAAGTGCATAAATATGCATCTAAACCCCTGAAATAAAGAATATCATTAATACTTGTAATGAAAAAACAATAAATTAGTAAAAAAAAAAAAAATAATGTTCGTTGCAGGAATTTCGTTCGTTATAGCATTCTCAATTTTATAGGTAAACCGTTTGTTATAGGAATATTCGTAGTAGAATCCATTCGTTATAGCATACCCCACTGTATTCTGCTTAGTCAAGCCTGTGACATTTTATAAGGGAAACATTTTTAGCCTAAAACTATCTTCACTCTCTAAATCTTTATTGCCTTCTGGCTGGGGGGAGGGGGGTGAGGTGTTGACAGTCATGTAAGGAGATTGCCAAGTGCATAGTTATCAGCGGAGGGGTCAGGGACTCATGATATACAGTAGAGGGAGTTTAAATCTTTTGCTTTTAAGATGTCACTGACTTAATTTAGCAAAATATAACTTGCATTGTTGGAATCCTTGTAAGATAGTGATTAATTTGAGTATAAACATCTCATACTTTGCACTAGATATAAAGTTTTTAGTCCTTCAGCTTCGTACATTTGAGTACAAAGTGAGTACAGTAATATGTTGCTCAAAATTGTGGCTTTTTAGTAATTAAATTAATACATTTGTGTACAGGTCATGATAATTTTAATGATTTTTCCACAACTTTTATAGCATTACTGTTGACTTTTAGTAGTTGTGAAACATATCCTAATTTTGCTCATAGATTAAGTATTCACTATACTGTACGTGTCTCGAAGCTGCCGGACTATCTTGTCTTGGATTAGCGGGGTCCAACCTGTACATACATCAAAATGGACAGAACCGTTAATGTAAAGCAGCAAAGCTCACTATAAAGCAATAATAATGCATGGTAAAATAAATACTATGCACACTCACCATTCAAGATGTGAAGTTGTTGTCTCTCTATGCCCAACTCTTCCATTGCTATGATGAATAATGATGATGTTGATTAGTTGGTGATGATGATGTGTTTTAGATGAAAATTAATTCTCATCTGGCTGGACAGGAGGCAGATAAGGCAGGGGAGACTACATAGGGGTCGGGGTTGTCCTTGTTCTTGGAGCTATGCAGAGGCCTGGCAGTTGTCGAGGGCTGAGTTAGGGGCGAGTGCAGGCTGTGGTTGAAGGTCTTCGTTTAGGAAAGAACAATGTTATTGGCAATTGTGATCTTTGGTGCTTTAGATTTTCATAAATCTTTACGCATGATGCAAGAGACTGCCCTACACTCCTCTTAAAGATCAGTGCACTATCAAAAGATGGATCAAACTCTATGAATTTATTTATTGCCTCTCTCATAGTATTCGTGACCAGCTGCATTTTCTCTAGTATCCACACACCAGGTTGATGGTCCTTTTCACCTTCCTCTTCATCCTAGGCTGCTGCTTCCTGAAGCCTTACAAGGTCCTCCAACACTTTATCTGTTATCTCTTAGCCTGCATTCTCCAACAACTCTCGTTGCACCTTTTCAGGCTGGAGGTCGGCAAACCCCTCACCCCCCACCCTCTCTTACACAGGTGTAGTAAGGCCTTCAAAATTATTCACAAATTCTAGCCATAGTATCTTTCAGCAGGCATTGTCACACTTGGCACTGATGTTGTCATGGCACAATTTGATGTAGGTGATGCAGTCTGCAATGGTAAATTTTTTTCCAAGCTGCCTTTACACCTTCCTCACTGCCCTCATCAACAGCTTCACAAATCCTGGAGAATGTGTGAGTCATGTATTTGGCCTTGAAAACAAAGATTACGCCTTGGTCATGAGGTTGAATAAGAGAAGTGTTTTAGGAAAGAACATAACCTCAGTATTGGGATTTGCAAAGAGTAGAGAATCAGGATGACCTGGACATTTGTCAATTGTTAGCAACACATTGAACTCTAAGCCCTTCTTGAGTAAATATTTCTTCACTTAATGGGCAAAACAGTTGTGGAACCAGTCTGAATAAAGCAGTGGTCATCCAGGCCTTTTTAGTTGTGGCAGTAAAAAACAGGTAAGAGATACATGTCCTTACCCGCAAGTTCACGGGGTCTCTGAACAGTAAAAAGGGATTGGTTTGATAAGATGGCCAGCAGCATTACCACAGAGGAGAATTGAAACACGATTTTTGGCGACCTTAAACCAGGTACATGTTTCTGCTCTATGGAGATGAACATTCTCTTAAGCATTTTTTCCACCATAAGCTAGTCTTATTGGTATCGAACACCTGTTCAGGCTTGTACCCCCTTCTCTTCAATATGAGCTTTAAACTCGGCTGGGTAAGCCTTAGCAGCGACATGATCTGTGGAAGTAGTTTCTCCAGTAACCTTGGGGTTATGCAGACCAGATATCTCCTTGAAGTTTTCAAATCATCCTTACAAGCTGTAAAGGATGAGTTCTTTTGCCCATGACTGTCACCAATTGCAATGGCCATTCCGGTAGCACCTCAAGCCAGGCTAGCACCGCCAATTCCACTAACACCTGTAGTGCTATCATCGCATGCTTTGACACCTGCAGCACTGTCACCACTTGCACTGACACCTGCAGCACTGTCACTACATGCACTAACACCTGCAGCACTGTCACCACATGCACTAACACCTGCAGCACTGTCACCACTTGCACTGACACCTGCAGCACTGTCACCACTTGCACTGACACCTGCAGCACTGTCACCACATGCACTGACACCTGCAGCACTGTCACCACTTGCACTAACACCTGCAGCACTGTCACCACTTGCACTAACACCTGCAGCACACACATGCACTGCAGCACTGTTACCACTGCAGCACTGTCACCACTTGCACTGACACCTGCAGCACTGTCACCACTGCACTGACACCTGCAGCACTGTCACCACTTGCACTGACACCTGCAGCACTGTCACCACATGCACTAACACCTGCAGCACTGTCACCACATGCACTAACACCTGCCACACCATGCATTGCAGCACTGTCACCACGCACTAACACCTGCAACACTGTCACCACTTGCACTAACACCTGCAGCACTGTCACCACTTGCATTAACACCTGCAGCACTGTCACCACTTGCATTAACACCTGCAGCACTGTCACCACTTGCATTGTCACCATAACACCTAACACCTGCAGCAGTGTCACCACTTGTGCTAACACCTGCAGCACTGTCACCACTTGTGCTAACACCTGCAGCACTGTCACCACTTGCACTGAAACCTGCAGCACTGTCACCACTTGCACTAACATCTGCAGCACTGTCACCACCTGCACTAACACCCGCAGCACTGTCACCACCTGTAACACCTGCAGCACTGTTCACTGCACCACTCTGTCACCACCTGCGCTAACACCTGCAGCAGCACTGTCACCACCTGCGCTAACACCTGCAGCACTGTCACCACTTGCGCTAACACCTGCAGCACTGTCACCACTTGCGCTAACACCTGCAGCACTGTCACCACTTGCACTAACACCTGCAGCACTGTCACCACTTGCACTAACACCTGCAGCACTGTCACCACTTGCGCTAACACCTGCAGCACTGTCACCACTTGCACGATCAATATCAATTGAAAACGATCATAGAGAGGCTTGGCTTTGTCCCTGATAATTAGAGAGTCAACACTTATGTTACTGCAGTTCATATCTTCAATCCAAATACTGAGAGCCTTCTCCAACCTACTCATAACAGGGTCTCTTAAGATGCAGTGTCTTGCTGGCAGGACTCATAGCACTCAGGGCAACACACTCACGAAACTCTTTTTCTTTCTTTTTTTATGTAGCTAATGCTTGACTCATTCATGCCGTAATGGCGATCACAGGCAGCATAGCTCATACCACTCTTCAACTTATCAAGTAACTCCACTTCTCCACCATAGTCGTCCTTACCTTGACTGGCATGCCAATAAAACCTCCGGCAGGAGCAGGGCGTTGACGAGGCATGGTGGAGAGTAGGGAAAGGCAGTATGGATACGTAAACAACAAAGTTCTTCTTGAGCTGGCAGTGTGGGTAACAGTTGGGGGCGTGGAACTCTCCCGCACCACCACAGAGACCCTTCGTGGCCAGTAGTGGAAGTTAGCACACGCGATGCACGTACACAACCTCCTTCCCCATGCAACCCATAATGCAATCCACAGAGGGGCGTGATGTTCAAACCCTTGTAGTTTAATGGTTTACTGTACATATGTTAAGAAATGGGAAAATAAAAAAAAAAAAATCTTATGAAAAAGAACACTTGCTCACTGAATTCTGTACTGTACTGAATACCGCAAAGTAAGACACTGTGTATGTAAGCAAGCTGGGTAGGGGGCTGATCGCGTGTTGCCTTTTTTTGTCAGGTTTATTTATTTATTTATTTGGTATTATATCCTTGGATGATCAAGGCTGGATTGCTGACTTGACCCTTATTGACAATGACAGATGCAGTAAACCCTCGGAAGTCCAGGCAGTTTCGGGGGAAAGGGGTCCGGACTTGTCAAGTGTCTGAACTGTTACCAAGTTTTGGGGGGTTTCTGGGGACCACTGTACACTGAGCAGCCATTCGGTAACCCTCCCACCTCCGAAGGCCCTTAGATTTGTATTTTAATGGACGCAAAATGCACACCCCAACACCTCCCACACACCCCAGCACCTCCCTGTATCTACAGGTAATCTTCCCCGACTAATCGTCCCCATACGTTGCATTGAAGGTGACGTCGGACTATCTTCTCTTTCCCACATTGTAGAAACCTAACAGTTTTTTTATGAGCGATGCCACTATTTATTATGATAAGAAATACAGGTAAAATAAAACAAGGTATCAAGTTGAAGTTATTAGAACCTGACCTAACCAACCAAAACAGTCTTACCAAACCTCTAACTTAATAGGCAGGGGGGGGGGGGCTGTATTAAACAGAAATTACTTATTTTGATATCTGCTACCAATGAAAGCATCTTTGTTGAAGTGTTATGGTGTAATTTTATTTTTATTTTTTTTTTGTGGACGTGAGCGAACACTCAGACCAAGTGGGTCGGTTGTAAACAAACACAATATGCAGATTTTGTGGTGGTGTATATATGGTAAATATTTCATTTATTTACATACAAAGCCCTTAGGGACATCATTTTATCAAATGATCAGTTTTTCTCTGTGTTTTACCTAGCATTTTCCCTCATCCTTTGTGCCCTGCCCACTGCAGGTGATTTATGATCATAGAGGAAAATGAAAAAAAATAAATAAATAAATAAATATGTTTTTCCTCTATTGAAATATTTATTATAGTGTAATGATAAGAGCATCTGTGGGAAAATGTACGTAATTCAACAACTCCTTCTGGTGGCAGTGCTGTCCTCAGATATTACCTCTTATGTTAATACAGTCTACAGTTTAAATGTGCCTTCATATAATGTCAATCATAATATTATGTATCATTTTATAATAAAATAATGGCTAATACAAGCCAATCTTAAAGTACAGTAGAGAGGAGAAGAGGCCTCAAAGGATAGCTGGCTGGCAGGAATTTCAAATTACTGTGCACGGTGAGAATTTAAAAGGATAAATAATTTAGGATTCGAACAAATGTTTTTTGCCCAGAAATGATCTGGATTTTCGAGGGTTTACTGTAGTTAAGTGAGCTAGGCAACTCAGGTGTTCAAATTAGGCAATTCCTAAACCCAACATGACTTGGGTCAGACTTCACTTGTTTCACACTGACCCCCCTAATCTCTCTTACTTACATACGCCCAGATAGTATTTACATAAATATGGACCGTGTGGGCAGTACAAAATAGGGGCAATGGCCCAAGCATGAAGAGCCCAGGAAAAACTAGACTCACTTGATATATTACGTTTGCCTAGCTATGCCCTTGAAATTAACTTTGGCATATCAAAATAAGATGAGTTTTAATAATGTACTGGGTTAGCTCGACTTGCCAGTTGTACTTAATGCTCTGAATAATAGTACTGTATGTTATTTAGCATAAAAATCATTGTCTAATTCTCACTTCTCTTGTGCTTGCCAGCAGGTATACACAGGCAACTTTTTACATTAAAAAAAGTTTGCTGCCCAAGTACCTGAACAGTAGGATGAATGAGAAGGTATCTTAGGAGATACTGTAGTTCCCATCCTATCTGCAATACACCAATCCACTGACCATTGATTTCGGGTACAATGTATTGATGATCTGTGGTACAAAACCATGAAATGCATTGGTAAGCACTCAACAATCCCTTTTGAGCCAGACCTAATCTGTAGATCTTAACATTTCATCTGACAAATTATCTTGCACTCTTCACGTTGTTGAAAACAGCCTAACATTTAACAGCCCTGGAGTGGCTTCCTTCACCTAGAACACTGACATAATAAAAACATATCAGTAGTTTTCTCCTTTTAAGATTTTATTGTCTGTTATTTTGTAGATGCTACTCGACAAATGATGGGGTTAAGCTCGCATTGTGATTAAATGGTCATGCTAAGTTTTCTTTCAGTTAAAAAATTCTTATTATTACTACAGAAATGTCCATTACTGAGTTTAAAATTAAATAAGAGTGTGCATATTAAGTTCTTTATTGATGTAAAGAATTAATATTCGGCTTCAGTCTGTAAATCGTAGAACAAATAATATTATTTAACAGTAAATTATCACCTACATTTAGCTGGTGGTGGTGTCAGCACCCAACCAATCCACAGTGGAGTTATAAATACAGTAGAGTCCTGGTTATCCAATATCCGAGTAACTGGCAGTTTCGACTAACCAGCACCAAAATGAAATACTGTACAGTACTGGTAATAATAAAAATAAATTTCTTCCAAAATCAGCTAGAATTGTAAGTGTGATTACCATTGCAATAGGGGTGAGCTGCCATATTTTTGCGATGATAAACAGTAGACTTGATACATAGCATAGCATAGCATAGCATATAAAATTCTGTACAGTACTGTACAATAGCACTTCTTTTATGCAAAAAAATTAACTCTTTCCACACTCAAACATCCTCTGGGAGACGAGACAGTTCAGGCAGACAGTCAACCAGCTGACTCACAGACGTGTGGCTGCTGTTCTGTGTGTATGCCATGATGTCACATTGGAAGGGAGTGCAGCCACTTCTCATATATACACACCAATGCTCTTCATTTTTCTTATTTTATGCTTTTGTATTACTTTTTATTTATTTCTAAGCCACATTAAATTATTGTAATGATTTTCCACAACTTATATACTGTATTGTACTCTCATTACTTGCACTAATATACAAGGTGGCTGGGCTAGCAAGTTGGCCATGCACTTATAGCCCACTGCCTCCACACACGTTCATTTTCCACACATAAACACTTGTGCTCTTAATTTTTCTTATAGTTTTGTATTCCATTTTCATTGTTATTAGCGTCATCATTTATATAGAGAAGAATAATTGTTAACGAAGTCCATTTTTTTAAGACAAATTTGCGAGGTCAGCCTGTAGCACCGAATTGTAGAATTTTTTGGGGGGGAGCCTAACAGTGAGGTTCAAATAACCGGAAAATCTCTTTATCCAGCACCCCTCAATCCCCATAGTGCTGGATAATTGGGGTTTTACTATACTAGTAACATAATACAGTACAGTATACTATACAGTACTGTACTTATGATCTTTCTGGAAGTATTGGAGAGAAAGAGGAAGTCAAAGCTTTTATGTTGTTCTAAGCTTTGGGGTTGTAAGGAAAATATTCCATCATAAATAAAATGGCACCTAAACTGTAAACCGACCCATCACTTCATTCATCAGCTAAGGTAAGAAACCATAAGGTAGTCAGTGTACCAGTAGGCAGTGGTCAGTGCTGGTAACAGTGTCTGTATCTTCTCTTATATGGTACAGTAACTCCTGTGGTAACCTGCCTCCACCATTTTTTAGCAGTTCTTATAATTTGAATTCATACATGACTAGCACTGTAACAAGGATTTTACACAATTTATACATGACTAGCATTGTAACCAGGAATGCACATAGTTTATACATGACTAGCATTATAACAAGGAATGCACATAATTTAGCATCAGTAAAAACCCAGTCTGACAACAGCAACCACCACCCACTGCTCTACACAACAAACAAGTACTCCACAAACATGGTTAGTTTGA